TCAAAGATGCCGCAGCTGTCATGTTGGCTGCGGGAGCTGACGATAGGTCGTTGCAGGTAAGTAAATATAGCAGGAAACGGTGTATCTGAACGTTTGTAGGTCTAACGGTATAAAAGAAATTTAATGATTCACATTGGTTAAGTATTTTTACAAATTTACGATTCGGGTTTAACTATTTGTCACAATTTTAAACATAGTTATCATACATTTTCAGGCCATAACGTTATTAATTGGTCTTCACGTTCCGCAAATAGCGAGTAAAGTTGCCCGAGCGCTACCGCGGTATACGGACATTATACTTGCTGATGTCGGTAAGAATCATTCAGTAGTGTTAAACGTACAGAATCAATGCCATTGATAATTAGAATGTTGAAGCTGAATGGTGTGGGCAGCGTTCCTGCGGTGCGGGGAGTGCGTGCGGGCGGAGGGCGCGGCGGGCACGCGAGAGGCCTTCGTCCTCCTCAACCACTGCCTCGACCTCGCCGAAGCGGCTGACGACAACACGCAGCAATTACTGAGCTATTCAGATTTCGGTATAACGGCTGTACTAAAATATTTTGTTGAATTAAAATATCTTAGAGGTTGAAGAAGTCATACTTGGTGATGATATCTTGGCAAAACTAGCGAATTTGTGCTTTACATTACGCGCTGGCTAATAATTATATACTCAGAGTTATAGCGAGGTCACTTAAAAATATGCTAGGTTCGTGTCCTTGTTGTTTAAAGTTATTATCTTACAGATGTCACAGACTGGCCGCAGAATCGGTTGCTGCTGGAGAAGTCGTGTGTGAGCGGCGCGCCGTTGCAGGAGGCGCGGGAGTGGGTGCTGTCGGTCGTCATGGACCAAGATGTTGAACAAGTTAGTTCACTACTCTCACCCGACTGACATGCGTGTGTAGTACTGTTAAGAAGAAAATTAGACCGTGGTGTAGAATTGGCGCAACTCTAGATTATCGGCATAAACGTCACGTCCCTAGCTGACAGCTGTCAACGTCATTGGAAGGATTGGATATTCGCGCGCATTGTTGCCGAAATCAATTGTTTAAAAGTCCCTTATCTCTATTTCATTGTTTTTGTTATAGGCATTGCCAGTGGACAGTCGCGGGCTGTACGCGGCGAGTGTGGCGCCCGAGGAGCCGTGCTGCGTAATTACCGGCTACCCTCTCGGCTCGCGACTCGTAACATTTTCCAATGGTTATTCTTTATTACTATAGTTATCATTATTATTTTGAAATGGTAGTGTATTGCTCACGACCTTTACATCATTCACTGTATTCACGTATGTTGCAAAAATCCAAATAAAACTTTTACAAGTTTCAATCAGTTTAATTTTTATCGAATGCGATGTGTTTTCAATAAGCTTGAGTTCATTAATTATAGAAACAAATCTAATTGTCAGGTCGCTGCGCCAATCGCGAGTGGTGGTCGCGGTGTAAGAAGGCGGCGGGCGGCGCGGGGAGCGCGGGCGCGGCCGCGGCGCTGCTGCAACACGTAGCGAGCTGGTGCGGCGCGCCCGACGCCTCCAACTTATAGATACGGCAGTGACAGAATACGAACGGCGCACATTCTCATAGCTTTCGTGAAATAATTGTCCTTATGTGTTATAATTTAAGCACAAACACTAAGTAAACCCCTGAAATAAATGTTTAGTAGTAAAATAAGTCAATTTTATTTCATTACTTTGTTTTTACCTTCATTCATTGTCCTTTCGGAATAGAAACGCAATGGGGTTAATGGAGTTTTCAGTTTCTAGCGCAAAGAGAGGTAGGTTTGATATTGACAGGGGATGCTATGAGCTGCCATACATTTTTTACTTTCGACCATAAATAATACAAAATAACTAGAGACTTAGAGCTCTCGAGTTAGAAATAGTCATTCTCTTTTACGCAATATTTGTTTTTCTTTGAGGATTGATATAAATAAAACAAAGAATACATTTTTATCGCTATAATAAACTCCTTTTTATCACATTTATATTAATAATATTTTTTGACACACATATCTGTTACACAATACAATTTGAAGGTTATACCAGTTTTCGTGGCGAATTTTCCTAAAGACCGTACATATTATGGTACCATAAGCATTTTTCATTACCGTTTTTATATGCGAAGAAAGTAATATTCAATATTGATGATGAATTTTTTGAGATGTAAATACAAATTCGTCACGAAAACGGCATGTGAAAATAGTTTGAAAGTATTCTAACAGACGTTACGTAACGCTAAAGTACGTTGTACATTTAGGTAAGAGTTGAAGTTGTTTACCGAGCATTACAGCATCTAGGAAACTAATACAAACAGATATGTGATTGTGAATCAACAGTAGAATATCCTCTACAGAGATATGTGTACAAGAAACTTAACGCTTCCTTTCGTCTTTGAAATTATGGAACATAAACATGAGTTACCACAGTGGAAACTTCACACAAACAATACTATTTTTCAAAGACGAAAAGATACATCTTTGTATATTTATTTCTATGATAAAGATTCTATGGTGTCGCATTTAAACGCGAAGACGACAGGTAATGGGGTTATCGAGGCACAATATTAATTTAAATAGTCAATACATTTATACATTTCTTACGTCAGAATATATTTTTGTTATACATCTATTATATCAAGATAATAAGCGTAAAGTTGTTTAGATCACACCGACGTCGTGTCGGAATGAGAGTTATATTATTTCTTTAATATTAAAAATCTAGATTATTGATATACTGAAATAGATTAGCATTTTACAAATATAAATATCGATCTATAAAATGTCTAACTAAATAGAAAAATTATAGTGTAAAAAAATAGTTACGCGTCGCGTGATGTGTATAAAGATTACAGGACATCTGATTCACAAGGACTTAGATATATTACATCTTCTATTATAATATTCTCTCTCAGGAATTGTACGATTACGTTAAATTAATGAAGGTGTGTAAATATACTATTTATGTGTTTGTAAATAAGGTGCACATGAGATTGGCTGATGTATTTGATCGCATATGCATTGCATTTGATGTGTGCATAATTAATATATGAATAAATACATCGTAAGTAGATATATTGTCAAGCGTGCGAATACACTGTGATGACATTGGAGATATTGCTAACATGTTTGTAAGTTGATTGTTTTTTTAATATCTGCCTAATAATATCTAATAGTATGTAGGCCGGTGATATTGCTCGATGTATAACGTATAATTAGTTTGTTCTGTTAACTGATGGCTTGTACTTTGTCGTCTGGACTTATTATATTTTTGCTAAATAATGTTGAATGTTGCACAACTTTCGCTAATATATTTATAAATAAAAGGAGTGATGGGAATAATGGTGTTTTATTATGTAATATTAAAATTTGTAATTTTGTATCATTTTATGTGAAACGGTAATTCTATCACGAAAGTAGTTGTGCGTAGAAAATTTTGGATAAAATATATTATTTACAGTTTATAAAGTTAAAGTAGGTCATAAAGAAATAAGTTCATAGATTAGTTATGTAGGGAAAATTCACTAAAGCACAACCTTGGAAGAATAGTACCTAGAGGCACTTACACACTAGAGTTATTTTAAAGAACTACTTTTAAGGCAAAGTTTTGAAGTTGGGGTTATCAAAATGCTATATAAGATTTATGCGTTTAGTATTCATTTACCAAGTACATTTACATATAAACACACAATTCACTACTTTTATACGATAATATTCTAACATGAATGAAATACGTAGCACTAACAGCTAATACAGCTCAAGTGATAGTATTCAATATTGATAGAAGTGAGCGCTACGATATGAGTTATTACGTAATTATTCTATTATATTACGAGTATAATGACGAGGTTAGCTATAATCTGATCAGACATCTAGATGTAACATTGAAATACAGCGAGTAATAGGTAGACAGTGTTACATAGAGGAGATTAGACAATTATTACACGATATATCTCTACACATAATTAAACACAAGAAAAGTATCATCTAAATGGTATTAGTGTAGTTTTTTTGTCTTACTTACGAACATAAATTTATTAGACCGAATGTTTCGTTTGAATAATAATCAAGTTACTTTTGATGTCGATATAATTTTGATTTTAACTAAAACAAAAAAAATACTAATTCGTATATTTACATACAACTTATAGCGGTTTCGATGTCGGGGCTAATATTTAGTTGGACAACAAAAGCAATCTATAAGGTCCTTTATAATACACGATTTTAACAAACATTAATGTAAACTAATATACGTCGTATATAATTATATTAATATATAATTGTCCATTAAGAATTGTTCTCACGTCAAGCGTTTGGGGATTTCCGTACATTGGGCAGCATGGTTTGCGACACGAAGCGATGTTAAGACGCGGTCGAGGAGTTGGCCGTCGGGAGCGCACTACTTAGCTAGTCAGCTAGTTAGTTCGTCAGCCTGTCCGCTAGTCGGCTAGTTAATTCGTCAGCTAGTCGGCTAGTCGGCCAGGTGTCGTCGCTCCGGCGACGGCTCGCGAGATCAGTCAGGCGACTCGTCGGCGGCGAGCGAGGTGGCGGGGAAGAGCGGGTACCAGCCGTAGGTGCGCTGCGGCAGGCTCAGCTTGTCGAGACAGATCTCGGCGCCACCCAGTGCCAGGTTGTGTTCGAAGCCGCCACAGCGCTGCCACAGCATCACTACCAGCGTACGTCCGAGTGCGTCGCTTGCCTGGTACAAATATCCATTCAAAAATAAGTTCATAGTGTAACAACAAAGAAATTGTGAATTTAACTACCAAGAGGTTGAACATCACTAATAAATGATGTGATACTCCTGAGACCTGATACTTGAGCGTCTGTTTGAAGTGCGGCTCGGTGGTGCGGCGGATGACGCGCGTCTTGCGTTTGTGCAGCCACTTGTCGCCGTCGCGCAGGTAGCACTTGACGTACGAGTCTGGTACCTCGCCGTTTACGCCGTACACTCGACGGGCGTGGGAGACCTGCAACATACAATGACGATTTTACCTCATTTGCCGGAACACGGAAACCAGCAATCGGTGTATAATAGACACATCTTTATTATGACCCGAAAAGAAATTATTAATGTTTCTATAGTACAAAGGGCCAAATTCTTTTATAACGCACAAGTCTAAAGAAACGCTTTCCTATCTAAACCGTCGAAATGTCATAAGAATAGACAAAAGTATAGATAGGTAGGTTACCTCTAGTTCGAGTTGGCCTTTGATCATGATAATGCTGATGTTGATCTCTGCGTGGAGTGGCGGCAGGTGCGAACCGCGCGGCGGCAACTGGCCCGGCCCCAGCGGCACACCCTCCTCGTCGTCTCCGAGCTCTGCCGCCGCCGCCTCCGCTGCCGCCGGCACTGCCGCCCACATGCTGCCCTTGCGCCCCGTCGCCGTGCCTGTCGCCAACACCAGCCGTACTGCACACGCCGCCACCCCGCACCCCGCACCCCGCACCCAAACCCAACTCTACCCCTCTCTACTCTCACTCATGAATCTTCTTGCACTCTCTTCACTCGATATAGTAGAGCTTCACTTTACATACATTACTCAATCGAAATAAGTATAGGTCATTCTCGAAACATAGAAACAAAACAATACAAACAATGTAAAACAAAACCATTCAATCGTACATTGATAAATAAAATACATAAAGCACGTCAAACAGCTTCGTGCCAACGGTAAAAATATGTTTTACATAGAACTCGAATCGACTCCTTTCCTAAACATATAGATGGAAGAAGAAGCGTAATAACGTGTGCAGCCAAGAGTGTAGTCGACTTTCTAATAGTTGCCTGAAGCGGTCTCGAACTCAGTATTATGGTAGAAGCATTCCGTGTTATGAACAGCCAGTAGAGTAAGATAGTCCCGGTCGTCCTCTGAGAACTAATGTACAGAGCGCGCGCCGCCAGGGCATGCGCGACTGCGGCCTACTGCCGACGCCTACGCCGGCCGCATCGCGTGCGCTGATGCGTCATTCCCTAGCCTACTCGTTTACTTCTGTTTCAATTTACAAAAAATCTTGGAATCCATAACTACGGCCTAAGGATAAGATATATACAGGAAATCTAATAGAAGGCGCATCGTAATCATGAGTGTCATTCGCAAAGTTGATGAGGTCCAGACCTACGCGAGACGTGTCGTCGAAATGAACGGAGACGGGCAGCCGCACAGCCGCACAGGCGGTACACAGAAACAGATGAAGTGAGCGTGATCGCCCGCCGCCGGGCATGCGTCAGGACAGAACAGTACAGACACAGTGAAGTGATGAAAAGCGTCGGGCGCAGCCACATTCAACGGTGCGAGCGCGCGGCCGTCGCGCAAGCGATGTATGACCCATGCTACTACATGCCCCCCCGTCCTGGCGCTTCGCCCGCACCCGGCGCGAGCCACGTCTCAGCTCCGGTATGTGGACGCATACGGGAGACGAGGGCGGTCGCGCCGGGTGCGTGCGGGGCGACAGGGCGGCGGCGGGGGCTGTCGGCCGTCGGACGTCACAAGGGATCGTGTACCGAGACCGCGCGGCCTGCCGGGGGCAGTGCGCGCGGCCGGGCGGGGGCGAGCTTACCGAGGTGCTAACGGTCCGTCGCTGCTGACCAAACAAGCACAACATGTACAAGTCAGTACCCTCATTTATGTATCGAGTAAGATGCTCCCATTGTAACTTGAAAGTAACATTACACATTATTCAAAAATACAAAATATTCTTTCATTTGAATAAGTTTAATATATTATAAATAATCTCACCTACTCTTAGCCAATTGATAATTAATGAGATACTCTGAAAATAATTCTATCAAAGAAACAAATATCCTTGATATTAATGTACTTAGTGAAAGTAAAAAATAATTTAAACTTAGCTTACTATCATAATTTGGAATCGAGATTACTTCAAATCTGCGACTCCATTTAAGTTATTAAGTCAAAAAAGAAATGTCAAATTGATAAAAATGGACAAAGTGTAGACCCATTAGTTTATTGACGAGTACAGTTTTATAACAATTCAATTTGGTGTATCTATAAAGTAGACTTTCAACAGATAAGAAGCTATCCATTGCTTTGAAGCGCAGCTAGAAGGAGGTCAATCTAAACTATTGCGTCTACTTATTGGAAATTACAAACAACTCCGTGCAATTAATGGAAATTACACGCATTAAAGATATAAAATCTGCGCAAAAGTAGCAATGTAATTCTGATTTAATTGCACGGAATTGATTTTAGCAGTTATAACTAATTTAGGGAGTAGGAATCATAGGATAAGGGGACTTAACAATGGTTGTCATTTTGGATTTGAGCGACTTACACTTTGTTGTGTTCGTGGGAAAACGGGGAGAGCGAGTGCGGGAGGTGAGTGGAGATGAATGCGAGACTTACGCCTGGCGGTGGAGCCCGAGAGCGAGAGCGTGCGGCCGAGCTCGCCCTTCACCGCGCGCAGCGACCGCAGGATGTCATCGGGGTCGCGTCGCACGCACGACGAGCGCCGCCGCTCGCTGCGTCGCGATCCGCTCGGTGCCACTGCGCCCTCTGCACCTTGTACTTATTTATACATGCATGTTGCCAGCTACTCAGCATTACCAGAGCGTTTTTATTTTAGCCGTATGCCCGTGTTAAAATAAAAACCTACTTTAACAAGGGACTCTATCAGTAGGAGCCCTCCAGTTTGTGTTTCAAGGTTAGGCATTTTCTATGCCCTGACTGT